CCGTTAGGGCAAATGCTTCAGGAACAGAGGAAAGAGGTTGTTGAACCCCACGATATGATGGTTGGGGGGGAAGCCCCTCCTTTCCTACACTGCCTCAGTGTGGTCCTGGGAAGAATCAGCTAAGTAGCCTTGGGTTTGAGTCTAAGAACCTGTTCCATCAAACCTTCTCTTCTCTCCCAGCAATGCACCTGTGGACTGGACCTGCGTCACGTGACCATCATTGAACTGGTGGGGCAGCCACCTCAGGAGGTGGGGCGCATCCGGGAGCAACAGCTATCAGCCAACATCATCGAGGAGCTCAGGTCCAGGCTGGAGGCCACAGGGAAGCGGGGGAGCAACGCTGGGCAGGACACTGGCAACAGGAGGGTTGGGGGAGAATCAGCAGACACTACCATCTTGAGGCATGCCTCGTGTTTGAACTCTCTGGATGCGTTAGGTAAAACCAGAGAGTGGTAGAATATCAAAATCAAATGGGCAGGGGGGAGAGCATAAAAGACAGATGACCAGGCTCCACCCCAAACTACCTCTGGATTGTGCTTTTATTTATTTTTATTTATTTTGAATATTTTATTTATTTGACAGAGAGAGAGAGAGAGTGAGAGAGCACAAGCAGGTTGAGTGGGAGAGGGAGAAGCAGGCTCCCCGCTGTGCAGGGAGCCCAACATGGAGCTCGATCCCAGGACCCTGGGATCATGACATGAGCCGAAGGTAGACACTTAACGACTGAGCCACCTAGGCGCTCCAGGACTGTGCTTTTATAAGGCACCTCAGGTGACTCAGACCCAAACGTGACTCAGAGAAGCCTCTGATTCTGTTGCCTCATGGCCTCATCTCTTTGTCTTCAGTCTCCAAAGGAGCAAAAGGCATCTTTTAGGCACTAAAAATCTGAATCACACTCCTCTGGACCCTGGGCGAAGAGAAGATTATAGGGGACAGGTTGTAGAAGTGGACTTTTCTCATTATCTATCCATTATCACCCCTCCGATGCCCGCACGTACACTCAGTGCCAATAAAGCTATCATTGCTCTCTGTTCTATAAACAATACCTGCCTCTAGGGCTCAGTCTCAGTGGGGACAGAAAGATTCAGTCCCAGGTAGGGGAGAGCCTGGGAAACACGCAGAGGAAGGAGACTGCAAACTTGCTTCTCCAGATAGAAGAGTTGACCAGGTAATATTAATCAACCTCAGGGCTGCCATGTACAGTTGTGCAGGTTATGCCCAGCCCAACTCCAGAAAACACTAGTCGCATCATAGTACATACGACTGGTGCTCCCTGGAGTTATTCTGTGCAGCCCGCATTGCTATATGTGATAGCTCTGCTTAAGGGGGCCTATGAGGGAAGCCTAGCCTGGTATCAACACAGTTGCTCTATCTGGGGTAAGGAAGGGACAGCTTAGCAGAATCAGATGCAAAGGGACAGCAAGACTAGGGTCTGAGCAGAGAGAAAACAAAGGGGCTTGAGACAGGTAGGAGAGGGGGTGGGGACAAGAGATCAGGTAGGGAAGGAATTAGTCCATGAGGAGAGCCGTGAAATGTAAGTGTAGTAGAGCCTGGTGGGGTGAAGCACAGACATGGTCTCACTCACACGTCGTGGGCTCCTCTCTCTAGGCAATTTCAGCGTCTCACTCCTTCCTACTTCAACATGGTATTGATTGACAAGCAGGGAATTGACCGGGAACGCTACATGGAACCTGTCACCCCTGAGGAGATCTTCACATTCATTGATGACTACCTACTGAGCAACCAGGAGCTGATCCAGCGCCGGGAGCAAAGGGACATGTGCGAGTGAACTTGAGCCAGGGCATGGATGGAGGTCAAGGGAAAAGCTCCCCTAGTCAGCTGAAGCTGGGGCCTGAGAAAAGGAGGAAGTGATTCCCCACGGCTCTAGGGACAGGACTCTGAGGTGGGTGAGATTCACCAATCCTGGGTCATTCCCAGGCCCCTTTGTAGGGCTGTGTAATAGTTTCCCTAAGCAAGTCTCTGCTTTAAGTAGCACTCGAGGAGCATACGAAGCTAAGCAGGGACTGGGGGCAGGTCCTGGACAATGGGCTGTGGGGTGAAAGTCTTCTTTTCGCAACCTGGGCCTCTGCGCTGCACTCCAAAGTCTTCCAGATAAGTAAATTCTCGATTCATTCACTAACCGGCCGTGGTTTCAATGGTTCCTCTACCCTGAGGTGACAGCAGAGGGCAGCACCGTCACAACAGACAACCAGGACAAGTAAGCAAGCAAGTGTAGCTGGGTTTTCCCCTACAGCGGAGCTCTATCATTGGAGGCTGTGGGAGGGAGCTTCAAGACCTTCTTGAGCTTGTCATTTGCCCTTTGAGGGGATTGGGTTACAAATGTTATGTTAACCATTGCTTCAACTAAGAGTAAGGAGAATGCGGCCATGGGAGGCGGCTTAGGAAGATGAATCAGGCCAGAGCAGAATGTTTTGTCCTGGCCCCTCCAGCTGGCTCATGGGCAACAGTCTCTTCTTCCTGAGCCTGCAGTTCCATAGCAAAAGGCAGCCAGGGCTGTCCCTTCCTCAGGGAAGCCCCCAGCTCATGACCTAGGGCACCCGGAAACCATCACTCCAAGCCTCTGTAAAACTAGTAGAGAAGGGGAAAAGAACAAAAACAAAGAGACCAATTCAGCCTCACGTCTTAACTTACTCAGATCGCTTTCAAGAGATGAGCACAGAGCAGGTGGGAGCCACTGCAGCATGGAGTCAAGCCTTAAGAGCCGGGCCTGAAAGTAAATTTGAGGCTGGGCCCTTGTGAAATGGGGCAACACTGTACGGTGTGTCTGAGAACCTTCTTGCTGACACTCAGGGAACCCCGTGTCCTGGTTAAGACTCGGCAGCCTTTGTCCTTCGGCTTTGCCTAGGGGGTCCCCAGTAGAAAATGAGAGGAGAGAAGAAAGCAGGGTGAGTGGTGAGGCTAAGCTAATGCTTGAGCACTCACCATGTACCGAGTGCCATTCTAAACAGTCTATCAACAGACTCGGAAATCTTCACAAGAACCTTATAAGGCAGGTCCTGTTATTAGTCCCATTTCATGGAGGAGGGAATTGAGGTACAGAGAGGTTAGGCAATTCACCCGAGATCAGACAGCTAGTAAGTGACAGAGTTGGGATTTAAGCACCCGCAGTCTGGCTCCAGAGTCCCTGTTCTTAAATATTATGCTGTACTGCTTCTACTTTTTTGACTTTTCATTTAAGGACAGCTGACTGCTCCAAGCACAGACTAGGGTTTCACCTTCTCTGTATCATCCTACTCAGACACAAGACTTGGGGGTGGACCCAGGAGAAAAGAGGGAACTGGGAAGCTCTCAACCCAAGAAAGAGGGATGGGGCATAGATCAATCACGAGCCCAGAACACAGCGGGGTAGTAGTGAGTCAGAGAGAAGCTGTTCTCACTGCAGGCTTAGTGGAAAACTCATTTGTAAAATGCAGAAATAACAAGTGAGGCAGTTGCTCAGTGGACCAGGACATGGAGCGAATGATCAAACTTGGAGCAAAAAAGTCCCCTTCTCCCTCTTCCCTCCCGGGAAATCCAAGAGCTTAAAAGTCAAAAGACAAGTTATGGGCAGAAGACAAAATACAATGAGCTAATGTGGGAAATCTCTGGTCAGACAAGGTCTGTGGTTCCAAAGGCAAGGACTGCACGTTAGTCAGAATAAATGCCCCGCCTTGTCTTGATCACTTACACCTCAAGTGGCAAGCCAGGGCGTGCTAGCAGGTCAAAGGCCCAAATGACAACATGAATGACAACTTGAACGGAGTCTCCACCTGGGCCTGACTCTCGCATAGAAATGCTCCTCTAGCTTTGAAAAATTGAGAAGCTTTTTCATTTTATTGAGTAGTCAGGCAAGTCAGTCTTGCTTTCTTTAGGTAAAGTTTCACTGTAGCCTCTTTTGCCTTATGATTCAAGAAATTCCAGCTCCTCAAGTAGGGGGAGGGGGCCACAGCAGAATCAGGCTCACAGCCAGAAAAGCCTCACCCCAGCCTTGTACATATCTGTTTTTCTTTCTCTGCCTCCCATCTACCCCCATCCCCATCTCTGTCTGTCTCTCTCATACATATACACACGCTTACTCACACACTCACGTGCACAAACTATTGATTCAGTCAGCTGGTTAGGTAACCTCCGAGGCATTCTGATTATCCTACCTTGTAGACTAAACTTACTTGAGAGATTTTAGAATAAGGGAGTCATCCCTTCCTTTGACTCTGCCCATAACACATATAAAGCCCTTGCAGGAAGTAGCATGATACACAGAATCAGACCTTGATTCAAATCCCAACTCTGTTGTGCAATAGTGGACTTGACTTTCCTCATCTGTAAAAAGGGAAATTTTCCTACTTCATAAGGTGCTTGGAGAAATTAAGGCACTAATATATAATGTGCCTAGCATAAAGCTTCGTACACAAAAGACATCTAATACATATTAATGTCTTTTTGCACAAGAGGTCAAGAATCACTTGGGCTCTCCCTAGAAACCCAGGTTTCTTAACCCAGGGCCTTATTTCTGAGATGAGGTGCTTAGTATCTGTGTTATTTATTTCTCAAAACTAAATAATGATAGTAGGAGTGAAGGAAAAAGGCCCTACCTCCTAGAGACAGTGAAGGATCCAGAAAGAAACACAGCAGAGAACATCTTCCTTCCCCTGTGCTCATACATATACACACAGCTCTCTCCTTCCTAGTGATAGGGGACTACAAAACTAGAGAAGGAATTCCCTTGACACTTGAGAGAGAAAGAAAAGTGGTGTCACTTTTAAGATGGATTCTCAGGTCTCTCCCTAGATACCAAACACAAAGGTCAATAGATCAGAGCTCAGCAGAGCTATCAGGCAGCAACCGTAGGGAAAGGGAAATTTTCTTTGAATCAGTACAGTGTACGGTTAGGGAAGGGCATTTGTCACTTTGATTCTTCTCCTTCAAACCACTGAACAGCAGCAGCAGTAGGTGAGGACATCAGAGAGAAAAGCCTCAGCAGAACTAACAAATGCAAACACTTGACAAGTGAGAAAGCTTTATTGACGCACACGTACATTTCAGGGGTTGGAGAACAAAGGAGCGAGTTACAGGCCAGGATTCCAAATTATGCTTTCCATTACAATATCAATCCATACCAAACAAACCTTTTAAAAACACTCCTCCATTCAGATCACCCATACAGTAGAAACCACGGGAACTGCCCTCGATCTAAGGGCCTCTTATAGGAGAAATCAGCAGACTCTACCAAAAGGGATTTCTTCTCTGGTATAGACTCCTTTCACAAACAACTTTGTGTAGGTACACTTGCAAGGATAAAAAGGTCAGTCTGGTACAGTGAGTTTCAGAAAATGAGGCTCAGGTCACCAGACCCTTCCTAGAAAGGTCTCAACACATCACACCCACTTTATATCTAGGTCAAGTTTAGGAAACAATAGGAAAAATAGAAACTGAAGTTACCTCAAGAAGGAAGTCAGAATAACTAGGAGATTCTCTAAACACATTCTCTTAGAGTACTAACAGTGCCCAGTCTGGAGAAACACTGGGCCAGTTTATTTTTTTAAAGATTTTTATTTATTTGAGAGAGCGAGAGTGAACGAGAGAGAGAGCACAAGCAGGGGGGAGGGGAAGAGGCAGAGGGAGAAGTAGGCTCCCCAAGGAGCAGGGAGCCTGATGGGGGACTCCATCCCAGGACCCCCAGATCACGACCTGAGCCGAAGGCAGTGGCTTAACCAATTGAGCCACCCAGGCGCCCCAACACTGGGCCAGTTTAGACAGTACTTGGCTATTCTGGCTGGCATAATGGTATGTAGACCGTATTCTGTGTGGTACCACACCGTGGACACAAATGCTAAGGAACATGTGGCATATGAGGGGGAAGATGTCTTTTATTGGAGATATGAGGAGTTCTCCAAGAACAGCTGTATCTGTATACAATGCAAAGATCCAGCACAGGCTGGGAGACATTTCACTCTCAGCCACTCTGGTCCTATGAGACCACTGAGAAGCCATTTTGGGCACGTCCATGACTCAGTCACTACCTAATTAAAGTGTTTTTCTAAAGCAGCTCCATTACGAGGGTCCCCTAAAGGTCTAGTGAAGGTTTCTGGAGCTGGAAGGAACTTAGGAACTTTCTTAGCATTTCAAAGAAAACCATGAGACCCAAGCACTATGGAAACTGCTTAAGAGCAAGAAGAGTTAAAAGCCAAGTTCCAGAAATGTATCAGGGTAAAAATGGAGTTTAAAAACAGAAATTGGAAAGGAAGGGGGCAGACCTACTCACCTCTCTCCCATCTTCTCCTGTCTTTAGTAACCCAACCCTGCTTCCCAGAGCCTTGGCCTCAGACCAGGCACACCTTGAAACACAGACCTGTGGGAATGCCAAAGATAGCCAGGGCTTCCTGGGGAAGGAGGAAACGGTTTGCCAGACAGGAGATAAAGAACTTGTTTTAAAGGATTTTTAAGTTAATTAAACACCATAAAGACATAAGCATGGACTCTGGATATATACTAGATTATGCACAAATAAAAACATTTTGAACAGACCCTTAGTCTTGAGCCTGCTTTAAAAAGGGGAACAAGTCTGCATCACTCTAGCATAATAAGAATTGTAGAAATACATGTTTATACACACACATACATAACACACACACGTACACACACACACACAAAATTATAAATCTTTGCTCTTGGTTTCTTCACTTCCTCCGACTTGCCCTGGACAGGGCTGGACCTGCAGAGAAGGACAGGGACTCATAAGCCCAGCTTCTGCTTGGCCATCGAGGAACGCAGCTGCAGAGTCCCTTCTGCCCAAGACCCTGGGTACTGTCGCATCTTCTGCCACAGGCTCACTTCTTCCCCAGTCGAGTCCATCCAGTCCACCACTTCCCCATTACTGATCCCTGAGGAGAAACACCAGAGGAGGCTGAACAGGGAACCCACACCTCAGCCCCCTGGGAAAGATGGGTGATACGGCAGCAGCTAAACACCTTTTTTTCTCTAGCTGTAGACTCCAGGCCTGAGGTTCGGATTGTATGTGGTCTCATTCCTCCTGTCTTGTAATTCATCTTTTCAACAAACATTTATTGAGTGCCTACTGTGTACCGGGTACTCTTCGGGGCTTGGAAGATACAGTGGTGAACAAAGAAAAAAAAAAAAAAAAAAGTCCTGCCTTACAGGCAGCTTACATTTGAATGGGGGAAACAGAACATCTACAAGGAAGTCAAGAATACTTCAGATAGCGAGATAAATGTCATGAAGTAAATAAACAGGGTGATCGGCAGTGCCTAGATCAGGGCCTCCTTTAGACGGAGTGGTCTGAGCGCCCCTCCAAGGAGACATCTGAGTCAAGCTCCAAAGGATGGGAAGGAGCCAGACAGAGGTTAACAATAATTGCAAAGGTTCTGAAGTTGGAATGAGCTTGGTATATTTGGGGAGCAGAAAGAGTCATTGTGCTTGGAGCACAGGGAGCAAGTAGGAGAGTGATATAGGGATGAATTATAAAGGAACAAAGGGGCCAGAATCTATAGGGGTCTGGCAGAACGGTAAGAACTTGGGATTGTCTTCTAAGTACAAGAGTAAGCCCCTGAAGGGTTTTAAGCGGGGGACTGATATGAACTGGCTTACATTTGTAAAAACCTCATTCTAGACACTTTGGGTTAAGTGCTTTGTATGACTTATTAACATACAAGTAGTATTTAAGGCCGCAGGCGTGCAGAGACTGCAGAGAGCAAAAAGGATTCAAGACTAAGCCTTGAAAAACACCAATATTTAGTTTGGGTAGAGAATGAGAAAGCCACAAAGACAAGTGCAGAATCAGTAGAAGCTAAGTATTTGAAGAAAAAGGGAGTGATCAGCTATGCTAAATTGCATGATAATTCTAGTAAGATGAAAACAAAAGTTTACCATGAGCAACTGCTCAGTGAAGTGGTGAGACAGAAGCCAGATCACAGTGGACTGAGGACTAAAAGAGATGTGAGGAAGTAGAGACAGTTCCTTTTAAGGAATTAGAAGGGGGACGCAGGGTCAAGAAAAGGTTAATTTCTGTTTCTTAAGATTGGCAATACCCAAGTGTATCTGTTTTCACCTCCAGTAGGGAGGTAGAGGGAATGAAAGTGATCAGACAGGAGAGACAGGAGATTCCAGAAGTGAGGTTAAGAAGGTTAGGGGGTGATCCAGAACACTTGGAAAGAGCTTGGCCTTTGCTAGAAAGGCTCCTCTTTCATTATAACAGGATGGAAGATGGAAATTATCCGTACAGCTACAGGTAGGTTTTTAGATTTTTTTTTGATGCTGAGATGATGGCATTCGTGGCCATCAGGGTCCCGTTTATGTGTGCGCATTAACAGCGCATGAGCTCAGCCTCCCCTAAGGTCTGCACAGAGTAGGCACTCAGTAAACAGTGACCAAATGTTAACCGAAAAGAAAAGAAGACAACGCTTGCTATAGAGAAGCTCTGAAGGAAGGGATAAAGGCAGATGAGGAGGGAAAAATACACAAGAGACCTTTAAAAGAGTTAGGACAGGGGGAGAGGCTCTCACCAGTGCCAACACCCAGCCTGACCCCGCCCAGGAAGTCATTGCTGGCCAGGGGCTCCCGGTCCCACACTGTCAGTTCCAGGCACATGTGCTGTAGATCTTCCAGCCTCACACCATTGTAGACAAATGTGTGGTTGTAGTGGGGATTCAGGGTCTTCTTCATCACAGGAGTTTTACGCTTACTGGCCTTGTTCCTCATGGGAAGGAGGTATCTGGCAGAGGGTGGGCAGTGATCAACGAGCTACTCAAAGCTGGCAAATATTGACCGAAATTCCCCTGTCCCCCTACCGCAGGCCTAGCCCAGGAAGGTAAGTCGCCATGCGGATGCTAGCACACACAGACCCTCCCTCCTTCGAATATGCCGAAGCAGAGTTCCCACTACCCCCACTGGATCTTTCACCTGATTCAATTCCTTTAACCTGGAGAGAAAATTAATATAGTGTCATTAGTAAACTGTTATCTATACTCTACCAAACAGGGGTTTTAAATATTTGATTCCATTTCGACTGGACAAGGTCCTCTTTCAAGAAAACCAATGGTCATAACTCCAGGCTTAGCCACACGATTTGCTAGAGAACTTGAGTCAGCGGGGGCGGGGAGGGGCGGTGTGATCTATCATTTGGGGAAAACTGGCGTTGCTGCAATACTGTGGGGAACAGGGTCCTGCGCTCCTAAATCCGAACAGTCAGAGGACACAGCTTTTGATTCAGGATTCATCAAAAGCCGAAGTCTATAACAAAGGAAAAGTCCAGCCTCTCTGTCTCCCACCCTCCTCTTTGGAAATCCACACTACAGCACCATCCAAACTGAGCTCAGACCAGGACAAAGGCAGAGGTTTTGTGGAGGTTTTCCTATTACCTACTTTCAGGAACAGAGTCGGTTGCGGGAGGTGGCAGGATATACAAGGATAATATCCATAGAGAAAGGTTAATTTGGGTTCCTCTCGTAGCTTCCTTGTCCTGGAACTGGTTAGTTTGGTGCTGGAGCCGGGGACTCACCCCTTGACAAAGCTGTCTGAAGTCCCTCCTGATTTGGCAGCTGTCAGATTCTTGGCTTCTTTGATCCACACCTGGAGCTCTCCCCCTTCCCCACCTTTACCTGCAAGGGAGGTCAGCCATAGCAAGTGAGCATCTCCCCGCTTCAGATTTCACTTGACCTTTTCTACAGAGCACCTTCCATCCCTGGCTCCTGAAGGCAGCAAGCTCCATGACAACTGGACCACATCTGACTTCCACCCTCAGGACCTAACACAGTGCCTGACTCAATTAGTAAGGACAACAATAGCAATAAATGCTTTTTAGAAAACTGGCTATGTGCCTGATTCTACAGTAAGCATTTAATTGTCAAAGCAACCGTATAAGATATCTACTATTATTCCTATTTTATAAATGGGAAAGTGGAGGCTTAGAGAAGTAAAGTTGCCTGATATTTGTTGAATGATTTTTTTTTTTTTTAAGATTTTATTTATTTATTTTAGAGACAGAGCACAAGAGGGGGGAGCGGGAGAAGCAGACTCCCTGCTGAGCAGGGAGCCCGATGCGGGACTCGATCCCGGGACTCCAGGATCATGACCTGAGCCGAAGGCAGTTGCTTAACCAACTGAGCCACCCAGGCGCCCTGTGTTGAATGATTTTTAAAAAGGGAACTCCCCTGCTTGTGTTCTTGATCCCATGCCCACTTTACAGGACTCATCAAGCATCATCAATTTCAACCACCACCTTCCATTTTTTTTAAGATTTTATTTATTTATTTGAGAGAGAGAGAGAGAGAGTGAGCGAGAGAGAGAGAGCACAAGCCAGGGGGGAGAGGCAGAGGGAGAAGCAGACTCCCCGCTGAGCAGGGAGCCGGACGCAGGGCTCGATCCCAGGCCCCTGGGACCATGACCTGAGCCAAAGGCAGACGCTTAACCCACTGAGCCACCCAGGCACACCCCTCCCTTTTGTTTAAAGATTTTATTATTTATTTGAGTGAGAGAGAAAGCACAAGCCAGGGAGAAGAGTTAGAGGGAGAACCCACCTCCTTAATATCTCTTCCTCTACTAGTCCTGTCTCCTCAGTCTAAATATATGCTAATCTCACCTCTTCTTTTAAAAATCCTTTAAAAAGGGGCACCTGGGTGGCTCAGTCAGTTAAGCATCTGCCTTCGGCTTAGGTCATGATCCTGGGGTCCTGGGATCGAGCCCCACATCAGGCTTCCTGCTTATCAGGGAGTCTGCTTCTCCCTCTCCCTCAGCCCCTCCCCCTTGCTTGTACTTTCTCTCTCCTTCTCTCTCAAATAAAATCTTTTTTAAAAAGAAAAAATTCTTTAAAAAGAAAATCTCCCTTTACACTTATCTCTTTCTTTCACCATCAATTATCCTAAAAAAAGAGTTCACACTCACTACTTCTGCTTCTTTGCTTCATTCACCCAGCCTAGTTTCTGGTGAAATCTGGCTTCTGCTTCCACTGACCCACTGAAAATACAACCTAACGCCGATGAGCCATGTCTTCTCCATCCTCACCGGCCTGACATCCCAGTAGTATTTCAACACTATTGACAACCTCTGCTCTTTTCTTCTCCAAGCCCTTTCCTAATAACCCTCTGCCTCGCTAGCTTTTCGTCCTCTCTTTAAAGTGTTGGCTCTTCCCTAGGTTCTATCCTTGCTTCTCTTCTCTAGTCATCCCGCACACCTTTCTTGGGGGTATTGTTCATCCCCGTATCCTATGGATTCGACCCTGCTACAGGTATCTTTCTAAGAACTTTGGCTTCCCATTGCACCAATGGATCAAATTCAACTCCTTACCCTTATGTTCAAAGCCCTTTTCAGTCAGGCACTCACCTTATCAACAATTCCAGCTCCACCCCCACATACACAAACCATAACTCCAGTGCCACCTGGAGTTTGTTCACGGTAGTGAACTCCTCACACACAACCTCACATTTACCATGCCTTTTTAAAACCTTTGCTCATGCTGTGTCTTCTGGAACTGCTCTTCTCACCCCATCCTCTTCCTTTCCTGCCTGGTAAAATCTGAAGTCCAGTTTCATCCTTACTTCCTCTTTAAAGTTCTCCCCAGGGGCGCCTGGGTGGCTCAGTCGTTAAGCGTCTGCCTTCGGCTCAGGTCATGATCCCAGGGTCCTGGGATCGAGCCCCACATTGGGCTCCCTTCTCCCTCTCCCACTCCCCCTACTTGTGTTCCCTCTCTCGCTGTGTGTCTCTCTGTGTCAAATAAATAAATAAAATCTTTAAATAAATAAATAAAAATAAATTTCTCCCCAAATGTAACCAGAGAGAATTCATCACTCCTCTTTTAGCATAGGACTGTCATCCTTGCTACACTAAGCTTCTCAAGGGAGGTCAAATATGTCTTATTCATTTACATATCTATCCCTAGTCACTAGCACAGTGCCCTGTATGTTCATTGACTCTTCCTCCACCTTTAACTTCCTGTCCCTCACACTTCACCACCCCTTGCAACTACCCTTTCTCACCCCCAAAGTTTCTGTTCTAATCTGCCCTCTTCATAGCTTGCCGTACCTGGACCGAGACCAAGTCTGTTTAATGGCCTAAAAAAAAAAAAAAAAAGAGTGCCAACCCGAAGATACTCCCTTCTGCTTGAAAATGATACAGAAAAGGCTCACTTAGTAAAGGAATCTTCCCTAGAGGATGATCCAGGGAGCATCTCAATCTGGTTTCGCCCACAGTGCTGGCGGCCAGCTGCACTATCTCACAGCCACCCTGTACAGAAGCCTCAGGGCTAAATCCAGCCCCCACCCCACCCCACCCCACAAAAAAACAAACTCACTCTTTTTCCGGTCACCTCCAATAGGGAGTTTGGAGGCTGGGATGTATTTCAATGAAACCACCAACTCGCCTTTGTGTGATGGCAAGCCAGTCGGGGACTCAGCACTGATCTGAAACACAGGGAAACCCAACAGGTCAAGCGGGGCTTCTCAGGGGCTGTTGGGACCTCTCGCTGAGGAGACTCGAAAATTGACTCCAAGAACAGCTTCACGACATAAGAGAATCCTCCTTATGAATACAATCCAGGGTCCCCAGGCCACGGCAGCCATGGGTTTCTAAGACAGTTCCTTCAGAAGGGGCTGCAGAAAAACCAACAAAGGTTCTTCATCATGGTATCAGTTGCCTGTGAGTCTGTGTGGCAACTTCGCTGCAAGACCTTTGAGGGTATTCAGAATCTAGTAACTGTAGTGTAGTCGTCTGCAATGCCCACTAGATTCCAAATATATATATATATATATATATATATATATATATATATACACACACACACACACACACACACATACAGTCTTTTTCAAGAGAATGGTATGTGTTGCTTGTATGATTTTCAAAGATAAAAAGTATTTTTTTAAAGAGAGTTTGCAAAGATTTGAAAGCTAGGTGGAACTCTGTTGCAAGGATTTGAGCATGCCACAATTTCTGATTTTATATGTATTTACGTTACTTTTGATGAATGGCTGTCTCTAGCACTAGAACCTAGATGCCAGGAGGCCAGGAGTCACCCGAGATTTGCTCGGCCTAGTAGGCCTGACACTTAGCCAAGTACCCGGCACATAGTAGGTGCTCCACAAATATTTATGGAATGAATGTAAGAGTGAATGAATGAATGTCTGGAATGAGCGGCAAGTGGCATATTGTCTTTGGCTGTTGGTACCAGAATTGCTTCATTCTATTGGCTCCCTGGGCATGGTTCACTTCTTTCTGCTTCGGTATCCATAACATGAGTTGGTGCAGACCAGACATGCCCTGTCACCTGCCTGTGTTCACTGGGGCTCCTCTCACCTAGGTCCTCAGCATGGAGTATACCAATGCCAGGAAGGCATAATCCCCATTGGCTTGGAAAAATGTACCACATACCCAGATGCACAGTTTAGTATATGGGAGAGATATAAAAGAATAGGGAGGTGGATGCCAGGAAGAGAAAGCTGAATGGGAGCAAGTGGATTGCTAGGGGGAAAAAAGAGATAGATCAGAGGCAATAAATGTAGACAGTTTTAAGTTAAAATAGATCTGTAATGCTGGAGTGGATTTTTTGTTGTTTATACATGTCTACACAACTGATTCATTTCCAGATTGTGAACTTCAGGAGATTCTTAAAACTGGAGTTTAGCCTTCACAAGAAATTGGTGTATTTTTTCAGTAGCATATTTCCATTCTAGCTCAAAATAATTGCAAAGAGCAAATGTCTCCATCTTAACGCAGTTTTTTTCTTTTCTTTTGATGTAAGACGCTTTCATTGGCAGTAGTTCATAATGGCTTATGGTGACATTTCCAATATCATTATATCAACTGTAGGCCCCTGAGAGAATGACTCGTGTGCCAAATGATTAAGAAATTCTACATTTCTGGGGCGCCTGGGTGGCTCAGTCGGTTAAGCATCTGCCCTCGGCCCAGGTCATGATCCTGGAGTCCTGGGATGGAGCCTCATCAGGCTTCCTGCTCAGTGGGGAGTCTGCTTCTCGTCTCCCTCTGCCCCTCCCCCAGCTTGCGCTCGCATGCGCGCGCTCTCTCTCTCTCTCAAGTAAAATCTTTAAAAAAGAGATTCTACATTTCTAATAATATGCTATAGATTGGTGATCACTGCTTTCCTGCTTTTATGTATTTAAAAGGGCAGATGTGGGGCACCTGGGTGGCTCAGTCATTGAGCATCTGCCTTCGGCTCAGGTCATGATCACAGGGTCCTGGGATCGAGCCCCGCATCGGGCTCCCTGCTCCGCGGGAAGCCTGCTTCTCCCTCTCCCACTCCCCCTGCTTGTGTTCCCTCTCTCGCTGTGTCTCTCTCTGTCAAATAAATAAATAAAATCTTTTAAAAAATAAATAAAAGGGCAGATTTAACATTGTTAATATTTTTTATGGAAGGAAGTAGCTATCAAAATATTGCATGACTGACTCAACAAATCCCACCACCAGAAATTTCCCTTATGTTACATTCACATAAGAATGCCAAGATATATTACAGCATAGTTTTAACAGAAAAAAAAGCCAACAATTTATAATATAGGCACATGAAAGAACACTATACAGCAATGAAAATGAGATAGATATGTAAGTGATGGCAGAGAAAGATGTCCACGATAATGAATTGTTACATGAAAAAAATCAAGGTATATGTACACGATGAGTTTCATACAAGCCTATTTGTATAAAAAGGAACAAATATAAATCCCTACGTGCATATTCATGCTGCTTAATATAAAATCTCTATCAAGATATCCAAGTAGTTGATAAGGGTGGTTATTTCTAGGGATTGGAATGTACTTTTCTTTTTATATACTTCTGTGTCGTTGCAATTTCAAACCACGTGTACACAAATCCTCTTGTTCTTAATTTTTTAAATAAGCAATACATGTAGACATGGTAAAAAAGTTCAGACATTCTAAAAGGGCACACAGAGAAAACTAAATTGCTCTCTCACCTCAGTCTCTCTTCCCAGAGACAGCCACTGCTGCTAGTTTCCTGGCTATCTTTCCAAAGATAGTCTATGCACCATGTACTATTTTTAGCATTGAAAAATGCTAGTGTATACATCAAAAACTAATGATACGTTGGCTAACTGAAAATAATAATAATAAAAAAAGAAAACGTTAGTGTAAAAAAAATTTACCAAGGAACCTTGCCATTGAACAGTTCAGATCATCAAGAAATCCTAACTCTCTTTTAGCAATTTCATCTTAACCAGAATGACAGTGTCCGTGAGGTACCAGGCATTGCTTGGCACTTTGTGGACAAGCCTGTGAAAGAGAAATATTATTATGATCTCCATTTTGTGGATGAATAAACTGAGACTCACAGAAGTTAAGTGACTTGCCTAAGTTGTTTTAGAACAGGGGTGACTGGGCGCCTGGGTGGCTCAGTTGGTTAAGCGACTGTCTTCGGCTCAGGTCATGATCCTGGAGTCCCTGGATCGAGTCCCGCATCAGGCTCCCTGCTCGGCAGGGAGTCTGCTTCTCCCTCTGACCCTCCCCCCTCTCATGTGCTCTCTCTCATTCTCTCTCAAATAAATAAATAAAATCTTAAAAAAAAAAAATTAAAAAAAAAAAAAAAAAAAGAACAGGGGTGACTTACCTAGCTGGCAGATAACAGAACCAGGACTCAAATCCAGGTCTGCACTTGGACCTCAGGCACTATTTTTGGAAACTGCTACACTCTCGCCTGAGGTGCCATCACCAAAGTAAAATTTGCCCTGGCTTGTGTGACTAAGAGCACAATTAGAACCCCATGAATTGTTTTACTTCCCACTTCTTCAGTGAAAAGATCAGCTCGGAAAAGGAGTGATTAGGAGACACCCAAGAGGTTAGCTTGGAGAAGAGGCGCAAGTTAGGATGTTAGGGTATGCCCGGCCTCTGGAAGGTTATGAGGCAAAGCTTGGCACACATATGAAAGACTTTTCAAAGGAAAACCGTGCTTCATCCTTTGCCTGGCCTACAAGGAGATGATAACGCACTTCACGTGCAAGCGCATCTGAAGTTACTGTCAAACTCAGAAACCCCAGCAGGGTGCCCTAGAACTCTACAGATTACATTCAAAGACGCCACCAACATGTACCAGCAGAGGTCCCTGCAGACCATGCTACTTCAGATCCAAACTGTGTAAGGAGTTGTTAAAGCAGACTGACTACCTTTCCGTGTAAAGGGAGGCAATGATCCAGTTTCTTATCAAGCTTCCAGGAATCCATTTGAACCTCTGCCTCTCCAAGGAAAGTGTTTCTGCCAAAACGACCATGATGCCAAACTGAGAACTGCAAAGTCCTCTGGGCCAGAAGAGATTCTGGGATCTCATACTGCGAAAGAAAAAGAGAAGCCCAAGGTGATTAGTTTGTGGTAATTCCTCAGAAAAGATTATTCCAAACTCTGAGCAACCATACCCAAAGTCCATAATCCTGAATACCAAATTACTTTGGTCCCTAAGTACTTTGAGTTTCCTTAATCAAAGCCTTCACTTACCCCATTTCACACAAATCCACATTCTATGGTGGGACCTGGAAAATCAATTTTTCCTTGACTGGGTAAAAGAACAACGGAATCTTCAAAACAGACTGCCACAGAAACTCCTGATCCCAAATGACTTTTTAAAAGGAGATTTGTGGGGGCACCTGGGTGGCTCAGTCGGTGAAGCGTCTGCCTTCGGCTCAGGCCATGAACCCAGGGTCCTGGGATCCAGCCCCGTGTTGGGGGTCCCTGCTCAGCGGGGAGCCTGCTTCTCCCTCTGCCCCTCCCCCCACTCACGTGCACGCACTCTCACTCTCTCTCTCAAATAAATGAAATCTTTTAAAAAGTAAAATAACATGAGATTTGTGGTCACATGAATCTCCAGTTTCACAACAATGCAAGAAAGCCAGATCACTTTTGTTCTCTTCTCTGGGAGGTTAGCATGTGAACAGATGCCCATGGCATATATTCAGATACAGACATGGCCACTGAACACCATGTCACCCAGCCCTGGAGCAGAGGAATAGCTACAGCTTAGCACACAAGACAGAACGTGTTCTCCTCTCGGGATCTAGATACGTACTCTGAGGGTCTCATCATACAGTGGATTGGTGGTGTCCCGCTTGATGCTGGTTTTTCTTTTTCCTTGGCGGGACCTGTCAGGCAGAAGGTAAGTCTTCACGTATCTAGAAATCAAGGAGAGTACGGAGTCATTTATTGTTTGTTTGTTTTTTTCCTCAAGCCCATTCTTCACTCCTCTGCTCTCCATACAGATGCCATGATGAAATGAAAATGTCACAGCAAGCCCTCTCAGGCATGTCCTTCTAGCATGTTCCCAGTCCTGGTCCCTTTCCCGTATCTCCCCTAGCCGCTCTCAAATACACCTCCCTGTCTGCCCAGGAAGTGATAACCGAGATGCCAGGGTCCGAGCTCCCATCTCAGAGCACCAGTCAGATTCCAGAAGCACTCACGGGTTAGAGCGCTTCTTAGCTTCATCAGCGTACGCCAGCTGGTGGCACTCCTTCACGTGGATGACCAGAGTCTGTGTTTGCCGCTCATACTTCAGGGAAAAGGCAATCTTGCCAGTCACAAAGATGTTGCCAAAGTCGCCAGCTTCACTATAGATGCTCATCATGCTGCCAATTGTACTCTGCAGATAAAGCACCCACAAACATCTGATAAAGGCATACCTCCCCTTCCCACACTGCTCACATCTTCCCTCATAATAAAGCCACAGTCACTGAACAAAACAACATCTTCAGAAGCCCCTGCGGTAAGCGAGCGCTGCCAACAGTCTTGTACCCAGAGGATGAGAGAGCTAGTAGCACACTCACTGCTGAGGTTAACAACCAGTTCATGGCTCACCCATGCTCTTAGCTTCTCTTCTTTCCCTCTTTTTACAATTTTTAGTTTTAGTTTTCACATGGCCCAGAAGGTAGACAAGGAATACAGGTAAGATGAAACTATGTTTCTGGTATATGTTATATATGCTAACATGTTGGCTGGCAGGGGTCAGGTACTAATTAAAACAAAGTGCCTTAATTATCTGTGGGTTTCTTTTTTTATTTAAATCTTAGTTAACATGCGGTGCAATATTGGTGTCTGGAGTAGAATGCAGTGACTCAGCACTTACATACAACACCCAGTGCTCAACATGACAAGTGCCCTCTTTAATACCCATCCCCCATCTAGCCCAGCCCCCATCCACCTCCCTCCATCAACCCACAGTTTGTTCTCTATTCTTAAGAGTCTCTTATGGCTTGTTTCCCTCTCCTTTTTTTTCTTTTCCCCCTTGCCATATGTAAGCCTGCCATTCTATTCCTGTGTGGGGATGGGAACGAACCCCAATCACTTCGGTTCCTGACTCTCTGTCCCCTAAACACCAATCTTCATACTTCTGACAGAACTAGGCCCTAATTCTTAAATGTGCCTTTAACTTCATGATTCTGATTGACATTGCTGCTCCTTAATCATACCCAGGTGCCAATTAACCCTGCCAGGGCCCCTGTCAGGACAATGCTCTTGAATGTGAGATCTGGAGTGGACTGTGATGAAGAAATACTATCTTGCTCACTTCGTGGCCTGTTAACCTTTTTAGAGGAGAAGTCATGGTTTACTGTTCACAAAGCTGTGATCAAGAATGTCTCTAGCCCAAACTGCCTAATTACTGACTACTTCCAGGGCAGAGGCCAAGGAAAGTCACCTAGCTGTACCCTAAGCAACTACTATCTAAACTGAGGATATGAACAGACAAATGCATCTCACTTACCTGGAAAGAGTGACAAGGATGATTTCCCCAGGTCCTGGCTCAGCTCTAGAGAGATACTTCCTTCATTCCTGGTACCCCAACATGTCTGTAGCCCAAAACTACTAGAACTTACCATGGAGGAACCACTTCGCATGCTGCTCCTAGCTAGCTTCTGGCGATGCAGCTTCACCAGATGGTCAATGTCTTCTTCTTCCTCTTCCTCTTCCTGGAACAGTAAATATAGATTCAGAGTTAATAAAGTTAGAAAAAGTTCAAAGACTAATAAACTTCCTTGAGTGGGAGCCATAATTATGACTCAACTCTGAAGTGTCATGCGCATATACATGCACATTATCCTCATTTTGTGTCTCCCATTTCAGGCTTCCAAACTATATTCCAACCATCTTTTTCCAATCTCAAAAGAACAAGATAAGAATATCTCTTTCCCATTCGACTGCCCCAACCCAACCAACGCTTTATATTTTAATCAAAATAAGTATTTATTGGGGCGCCTGGGTGGCTCAGTCGTTAAGCATCTGCCTTCGGCTCGGGTCATGATCCTGGGATTGAGCCCCACATTGGGCTCCCTGCTCAGCGGGAAGCCTGCTTCTCCCTCTCCCACTCTCCCTGCTTGTGCTCTCTCTCTCTCACTGTCTCTCTCTCTGTCAAATAAATAAATAAAATCTTTAAAAAAATAAGTATTTATTTGAGCTCCCAACTATATATCAAGCAACGTATTAGAAGATAAAAGAGACAGTGAAGACAGTCTTTTTTTTTAAGTGATTCAGCAACCAGATTTACTTTAGAAATTTGGAGGAATTAAGATTCATGTTGCCTTTTCCTAAAGAATTAAACAGATTGATTAGGAGTATCAAGTACTAAGGTCAACTCTAGATTTATAAAATTTCATATAGCGACCAATACAAGGGTACTTACCATATCTACACTGAGGCCTGGGACAGATTTGCTTCTGTCTCCCAAGGAGCCACTTTCATGTCCCACATCTTCCGGGCGAAGATCAATCACAGATTTAGTATATTCTGAATGGAAGACCAAAAACCCAAAACATAAGAGACCTACTCTTTTCCATACCAAGAACACATCCAGGGCATGCAGGACTTCAATCTCAAAGGCCATGAAGGGAAACCTACCTGAAGGCCTGAGGACTTTTCTGGTGTTCTTCTTAAATATCATCTCACCCTCATCAACAGATATCACATTTTGACCCCCAGGCTGAGTTTCCTAGGAAGGAATAAGGGCAAGGAAATGGAAAAGGATTGTAGGGTAGCTGGAAGGATGGAGTAAGGAAAAAGAGCCTTAGGAAGAATAAGGCTCAGATTTTTGCTAAACTATACAAAGTTAAAGGAAAGATTAATTTAATCTTAGGAATTTAATCCTAGGAAGTAGTACGAAACGTATTTTCTCACATGTTTCAACCAAAACCTTCAATACTCCCAAGTGAATCTAAACTGAAATTTGTTTAGTTGAACTCTTGATGCAAACTGCTCCTGAGAAGGGAGAAAGAAAGAGAGAAAAGAGAGAGAGAGACCCCAACTGACCAATAACAAAACCTTACCTTTTCCACTTGAGGTGCAGGGGCAGACATCTTCTTCCATTCTGGAAAGAGGCCAGATTTATCCAGAGAGTCTCTCCTGGAGGTAGATATAGAAGTTATAACAAAATCACCTCCTCACCTTCCCCATCTATGGAAGCTCTGTGGAAGGAGATCCACTGGCTTGGGGTCACTGTAGTAACCAAATCCAGAAGGTAATACTTCACATCTGATTTACCTTGAAGGAATGCAGACAAGCAGAAAAGCAACTTTGCACAAACACACTCACTCCCCCATTCCTAAGGGACACCGGGGGCAGTTGCTACTGGTCCAGGAAGACTCCTCCAAGATGCAGCAGCCTGTGGAAGTTAGCATGCCCCAGAAGGCTGTGCTCGGAGCCAACAGCAGATGTACTACTGACAAGACTTGTGGCAAGATGAGAGAAAATACTTCATTTGACCTGATGAGGACAGAAGGCAGACACACTGAAGCTACAGGAACCCTGCATCCTGAACTAGACAACAAAATGGAGACTTGGGATGAGCGGAGGTGCCGGGACTCATAGGGGTTTCACCTTGACAGGCTATCCGAGTCAGCTGTGTAGCTATCCAGACTCTCGCTCTCAGCCTCCAGTGCACTCTTTCCACTTTTCGGCTTGGGCACTTCAAATGGCACACTAGAATAAAAACCAAGAGGCGATTATGTAGAGGAAGTGGGCTCTCCTGCTGGGAGTCGGGCCTCCTTCCAGCCCACTCACCCTGGTAGCCTGAGTGATCTTTCTCAGATAAATATCTGAGTATACTGTGAAAACTGTTCAGCAGTTCCTCATTGCTGTTGGGATTGAGTTCAAACTCCTTCCCATGGCAAGAAAACCCTTAGGATTTTGCCCCCTGTTCACTTCTCCAGACTCATCTCCACCTTCCTTATACTTTACGTTTCCAGAATGATTAAGCTCTTTTGGTTCCTTGAATATGCCAAAGTTCTCCCTTTTACTTTTTTCTCTGCCTGGGATGTTCTTTTCACAATGACCATTTTCCTCACCTGGCTAAATCAACTCCTTCTTCAGGAATCTCCTTCTATGTTAATTCCTCTAGATCTCTCTATGTCCCCACTCCAAGTCTGGATTAGTAACCTTCCTATATGCTCCGAAAGCACCCTGATTTCTTGATAGCGGTCATCCCACATGTAATTATTTATGTCTTTTAAACAAATTATTTAATTTATCCAATAATTTAAACAAATGACCTATTTAATGTCTTTCTCCTGCATTAGACTAAGTTGTGTGAGATCAGTGACCACATATCTTATTCACTGCTGTGTTCCCAGTGCCTAGAAGAGTAACTACCATACAGTGGGCACTCCTATATTTGTTGACTGAATCCCCTCAGTGGGGCTTAAAGTAGACACATAAATAAGAAGTATGTTTCAAAGACCGTATTCAAAAGACCAGAATTCTTTCTCAGCTTTATGGATGACCCTGGGCATTCAAAACAGCAGTTCTCATTGCTAAAAGGAAGGACACCATTCCTGAGCCTCAAGGAATTTGTGAGAGCAGTAAGAAAAAGAGAAAAATCATTCTTCCTCAAGAATCTCAACTAATTTCACTTGGCTGCCAGGACATGACACTCTCCTGGTCCTCTGATCTTGCTGCAGTCCCCTTCGCAGGCTCCTTTGCTGGTCCTTCATCTCCTAAATCTCCAGTCTTTGGATTGTGTCCAGGCTTATTCCTTAGGCTGCTTCTCTTCACTATCTAGAATTATCCCTAAATGATCTCATCTAGTCTCATGGCTTTAAATATCCTCTATAAACCAATAACTCCTAAATTTATCTCTCACTCAAACACCAGGCTTGTATTTCCAACAGCCTACTTGACATCTCTACTTGGATGTCTCAAACACAGCAAGTGCAAAACTAAGGCCCTAATCCTCCCCCAAACCCATTCTTCTCTCAATTTCATCAAATGACAACTTTCTCCTTTCATGTGTCTGGTCAAAAATCTTAACAGTTTCCCTTAACTCCCCTCATTCTCTCACAATACAAACTCAATCTGTTAGCAAACACTCTTGGCTTTGTCTTCAATTATATCTAGAATCTGACCAGTTCTCAGCCCCTCCACTGCCATTACTTTGGTCCAAACCACCATCATCCAGCTACTGGTCACAATATGGTCACAACAGCCTCCTGACTGAACTCCCTACTTATACCCTTGTCCCTACACAATCTATCCTCAATAGAACAGTCAAAATGAGCTTTTAAAATATAAATCCAGGGGCTCCTTGCTCAGCAAGGAGCCTACTTCTCCCTCTGCCTGCCACTCCCCCTGCTTGTGCTCTCTCTGACAAAATAATAATAATAATAATAAATAAAATCTTTAAAGTAAATAAATTTAAGGAATAAAATAAAATAAAATATAAATCCAGCATAGAATTACCATATGACCCAGCAATTCCACTTCTAGGTATACACCCAAGAGAACTGAAAACATGTGTTCACACAAAAACTTGTGCGTGACTGTTCAGACCAGCATTATTCACAATAGCCAACAGGTGGAAACAGTCTAAATATTCACCAATGGATGAATGGATAAACAAAATGTGGTATATCCTATACAATGAAATATTACTGTCAATAAAAAGAAATCAAGTTCTGATCCATACTACAACATAGATGAACCTTGAAAACATTACGTGAAGTGAAAGAAGCAAGCAGTATTTTCTATGACTCCACTTATATGAAATATCCAGAGTAGGCAAACCCACAGAGAGACAGAAAGCAGATTAGGGACTGGAGGAAATGGGGAGTGACTGCTTAAGAGGTGCGGGGTTTCTTTCTGTAGTGATGGAAATGTTCTGAAGTTAGACCATGGCGACAGTTGCGCAGCATTCTCGAAGTACTAAAAGCCACTGAATGGCATGCCTTAAACTTGTGAAAATGATGAATTATATGTTATGTGAATTTTACCTCAATTTAAAAATAGAAAAATTGTATCATGTCACTCGGAGTGAAAGACAGAGTCCTTACAAGTGCCAACAAAGTCTTACATGATCTGCTTCTCATCCCTTCTCTGTCCTCATCTCCTACCACTTCTCCCCTTGCTCACTCAGTTCCAGAGTATTCAAACGTGCCAAATACCAACTCACCTTAAGGTCTTTGTATCTTCTGCTTTCTCTGCCCACAATGCTTTTCCCCCAGATACTCTCAGGATTTGCTCCCCCATTTGCTTCATGTCTTTGCTCAGGTATCACCGTATTATTAAGACTTTCCCTGGCTATCCTAAGTGGATAACAGGAAACATGGCACACATGTTTTCCTGGCACTCCCTATCCTTTTAGCCTACTTCATTTTCTCCATAGCACTTGTCAACATCTGATTTGATATATGCATTTGATTACTGTCTGTGTCTCCCCATCCCCAAATCTAAGCTCCACAAGCAAGGGACTTCCTTGTATTTACCAGTGTATCCCACGGCCTAAAACAGTGCCTGGCAAATAGTAGGCATTCACAGACATTTGTTTAAAAAATGCATGAACTAGTACATGAACAAAGAACAAAGTAACCAGAAAAAAAAAAGAACAAAATAGCCAGAATCTATAATGTCTTAAGCAGTAAAGAATAAACTTTCCAAGTTATCACATGATGTTTGCAATAGCTTTATGAAAACAGACAGTGGGGGTTAAAATCCTGGGGCCTGCAAGAGGTGAAACGGTGGTCATTTCTTGAGAGATATATTAGCTTTATCGTCCAAGGCACAGCAGGAAAGTTGATTTCATTTTTACTTTTTTCCCCTCTTTGCTCCAAAGAATAAGGAACCCAAAGCAGAACCATTCCTCTAGAGAGGCAGTTTAACAATAGCCCATGGAGTGTGTTTTCTGCTTGTATTTTTTCCTAAAGATGAATACGTACTAATCCAGAGCTGATACAAATAACCCTAGGGCAAAAAGGCAATTACTGACATCTGTGCAGTAAAAAATAGACTAAGAGATGGGAGTCCTGGCCTCTACCTATCTGTATGATCTCAGGGAAATCACTTATCTTGTTTTCTTTTCTGTAAAAACAAGAGGGCTGAATGTGATTACCTCTGAGGCTCCATAATTTTATAGCAAAGATCATTTATGGCCACTTAATCTGCTTCCATGTTTAGGATAAATAAGTCTTCTGGGTCCAATGAGACAAGAGGTCCTAGATAGCCAGAAGCAGTAGTTTTCAGAAATTGCATTCTGACCGATGATGTCAGATGTGTTAATCGGATTCGGGAAATAAAAGCTGTTTTTACCCTTATCCAAAAGGAAAAAGGGGCGGCCTCATCACCTAGAACAGATGAGTCACCCACCCGAAGCTGTGTGGATAAAATCACAGTACACACACACAATGAAACACCATACAGATAGCAAAAAGAATGAGATAGACCCTTGGTGCGGACACAGAAAGATGTCGATGTTATATTTTTCTAGAGTTGTTCCTTTTACACCTTGAGTTATAACTGACATAAATAAACTGCACGGGGTTAAGTGTGCAATTTGATGAGTTTTAGCATATACATACACTCGTGAAACCATTACCTCAATTAAGTGAGTGAATACATCTATCACTCTCAAGGGTTTCCTCTTGCTCCTTCATAATCCATTACTCCCTCCCTGCCTCTGTCCCTAGACAGGAAGTGCTGATCTGTGTTCTGCCACTAAAATGTGGGGTGCATTTTCTAGAATTTTATATAAATAGAATCGTACAGTATGTCCTCTCTTTTGTTTGGCTTCTTTCACTCAACAGGATTATTTTGAGATTCACCCATGTTATTGCTTGTATCAATAGTTTATTCCTTTCGATTGCTGAGTAGTATTCCACTGTATAAGCCAACCACAATTCATCCCTTCACCTGTTAATAGACATTTGAGTTGTTTCCAGGTTTTGGCTATTACAAACAAAGCTGCCATGAACATTCATGTACAAGTCTTTGCATGGACATATGCTTTCGCCTCTCGAGTAAATACCGAGAAATGGAATGGCTGAATCGCAAGGTAGTGCACATTTAACTGAACTACTACTAAACTGGTTTTCAAAGGGGCTGCACTGTTGCACATTCCCACCAGCAGTGTATGAGAATTCCAGTTGCTCTACATCCTCACCAACAACTGGTATGGTCAGTTTTTACATTTTAGCCAGTCTAGTGGGTATATGGTAGTATCTTATTATGATTTTAATTTGTATTTCCCTAATAACTAAAGAAGTTGAGCATCTTTTTATGTGCTTATTTGAAATCTGTATATTGCCTTTGGCAAAATGTCTGTTCAAATATTTTGCCAATTTTCTATGGGATTATCTATATTATTGAGTTTTTAAAATTCTTTCTCTTTCATTTTTTACCACTAAATTTGTATGTAGTACGGTCCTTTTTTAAAAAGAGATTAAAAATTTAAGAATCCAGGGTGCCTGGGTGGCTCAGTCAGCTGGACGTCTGCCTTCGGCTCAGGTCGTGATCCCAGCGTCCTGGGATCGAGTCCTGCATCGGGCTCCCTGCTCACCAGTGAGTCTGCTTCTCCTTCTCCCTCTGTGCCCTTTCTCTCTCTTACTCTCTCTCAAGTAAATAAATAATCTTTTTAAAAAAATAAAAGTTTAAGAATCCAATCTATATTTGTACATTTAGATGGTCTGGTAGTCCATATACCAAAACTAGTAATGCCTATTAACAATAATAGTCTGGGGCAGAAGCAGTGAGGTTACTGGGGACTCATTTTACATATTTCTATATTGCTTTTCAACAATCATATAAATCATGTTTTATGATTTAATCAAGTCACTTCCCTTTGGCTGAGGGAAAGGTATGGGGAACAAAACACAAATAAAAAGCCAAAAAATTCACCAGCAGCAACCAAACAAGGAGTAAAGCCTCAGGTCCTGAAGTTCAAAAAGTCATGGCTAAGAAAACAGAAGAAAAGATTTAGCACAGCAAAACTCCATCTGATGTAGAGATGTGCAGATGAAGTGAGTGAGTCAGTAGTCCTGGAATGAGTCTAGGAAAACAAAGTTCTCAAGATTTGTAGCCCCAGGTACCACTGGAGGATCCCAACAGAGGTAGACACGACAGCTGGGGTATGTGATCTCTAGGGGAGCAAGGGTATGAGTTAGAGGATGCATCCAGAGCTGGACTGTGTGAGCCTGGACATTTAAGAGAATTTCAGCAGACCCAAACCCAAGACCCCCAAGGTGCCTTTTGCCCTTCCCCTCAAGTGCCAAAAAAGAAGCATATCACAAGCAATATTCTATTCTTAAAGTACAGCTGGGGGTAGGGAAGAGATAAATTGTCTCAGGTTGAGGTGAGAGGCCTGTCAAGGAGGATTCACACACTGTATCAGAACAAATAAAAGATACAGGTAGAACTTCCCGGGTTAAACATGAGTAAAATGAGAAGAAATGGTCAGGCAGATATATAAATATGCCATGGGGTGGAGAGAAATAGAATCAACTTGCAATATAGGCAGAGAACTATTCTGGAGAAGAATATAACCCTAAGAAAATAAGTAGCTTTCTTGTGAGTACTCTATACTATGTAGGAACTTAATAAGAATATAGATTTGATAAAGCATAAGAGCTCAAACAGGAAAGATGATAAAACAACATTAGGGGAAAAGGAAGATTGAGAGCAAAGAACAAATTAAAACCTAATCAAGATAATTCATTCTCTTTTTAAAAGATATTTATTTACTTACTTACTTGAGAGAGAAAATGGCACATGGGGTAGGGAGAAGCAGAGGCAGAGGGGGAGGGAGGGGGTAAGAATCTCAAGCACACTCTGCATTGAGCATGGAGCCCAATGTGGGGCTTGACCTCACGATCCTGAGATCATAAGCCTGAGATCATAAGCCTGAGATCATGATCTGAGCTGAAACCAAGAGTCAGACGCTTAACCGACTGAGCTACCCAGGTGTCCCAAGATAATTCGTTCTAAAAGTACATTAGATATAGCAAAAAGAAAGGGAAGAGGGGGAATAATGAAAATGTCTGAAAGTCAAAGTAATAGCATAGAGGAAAGGGTTGGGTTAATCACAGTTCATTGCTTTTACCTTTCTTTTCTCTTGCATTTGATAGTTAAAGAAAAGGACAGAAAAGGAGAATAAAGAAATAAGAAATCCGGGGTACCTGGGTGGCTCAGTCGTTAAGCATCTGCCTTCGGCTTGGGTCATGATCCCAGGTCCTGGGATCGAGCCCCGCATCGTGCTCCCCGCTCCACGGGAAGCCTGCTTCTCCCTCTCCCACTCCCCCTGCTTGTGTTCCCTCTCTCGCTGTGTCTCGCTCTGTCAAATAAATAAATAAAATCTTAAAAAAAAAAAAAAAGAAGAAATCCAATGTCCTCAGGGGCGCCTGGGTGGCTCAGTCATTAAGCATTTGCCTTCGGCTGGGGTCATGATCCCTGAGTCCTGCGATCGAGTCCCGCATCAGGCTCCCTGCTCAGTGGGGAGTCTGTTTCTCCCTCTCCCTCTGCCGCTCCCCCTGCTTGTGCTCTCTGTCTCTCTGTCAAATAAATAAAAAAAATTTTTACAAAAAAGAAATCCAATGTCCCTAAGGTGGGAAACTTAACTAATTAAACAGAAAAAAAGTTCAGAGGATATGATACAGAAAAATTTTCCAGCAATGAAGAAAGGACTCATCAAGGGTACATATTAGGGGGAAATGATGCAGAATGATCACCACTGAGATGTGTGCACACATGCACGTGTGCACACATGCGTGTGCACACACACACACACACACACTCAGTTACCTACAAGGGAGAAAAACAAAAGACTAGCTGGCCTCAGACTTCATCACAGTCACATTCAGTGGCAGAAGACAGTGGAGTAGTGTCTACAACATTCTGAGGGAAAAAAAGTATGACCCAAGAATACAATACCCAGCCAAGATATCATTCAGGTATAAAGTCACTAGGCAGACATTCTTAACATGAAAGAGTAAAATAAATATAGCTTCTGCAAGCCCTTCTTGAAGGAACTTCTCAGTGGTAAAATCCAAACAACCAAGAAATAAATGAAAGGAAAGAATTCAGAAATATAGAGGAGTCATGTTCCAAGGCCTGAATACAAGCAGACAATCCTTTTAAATATGAAATAAAACTAAACAAACAGATAAAACAGGCAGATGATTTATGGTTGCATAACAGAATGTAAATGTTATAAGTGCTGACAAAGTAAAAGTGATTTGAGTAATAAAAAATGGGAGTAGGGGAAAGCATTTGGAGAAAGTATAAGAAAGCTAATCTCCTCTTTCATAGCAGAGAGTCCACTGGTGATATTGAAACAGGTAGATTTTTTAAAATGACTAAATGATTGACCTAGCACTCCACTCCTAGGTATCTACCTAAAAGAAATGAAAATGTTATGTCCATACAAAAACTCATAATGAAAGTTCATAGCTGCATTACTTATAATAATCAAAAGTGAAAACAACCCAAATGTCCATCAACAGATGAATGGAAAAATTAAATGTGGTATATACATATAACAGAATATTATCAGAATATATAATAGAATATTGTTTGGCAATAAAAAGAAATTAAGTCCTGACACATGCTATAACGTGGATGAACCCTGAATACATTATGTTAAGTGACAGAAGACAGTCACAAAGGACCACATATTCTTTGATTCCATTTAAATGAAATGTCCAGAATAGGCAAATATATAGAGATAGAAAGTAGATCAGTGAATGCTTAGGAGGGGGAGAAGGATAAGGAAGTTGGGGGAGTGATAGCTAAAGAGTACAGGGTTTCTTATTAAGGCGATGAAAAGTTCTAAAATCAGTTGAGGTGATGATTGCACAATTCTGTGAACACACTAAAAACCACTGCATTATACACTATAAATGGGTGAATTGTATGGTATGTGAATTATATCTCAATAGGGCTGTTACCAAAAAGACTCTAGGGAAAAAATGACTACTCAATGGTTTTTATGATTTTTTTTCCTTAAACTCAGAAGGATGTTAATGACTAATATCTTTTATGGTAAAGAAACATTTGTCTGAAGATGAGCAATTCTTCAATTTTATTTCTTCTGTTTTATTCTGTTAAATTCAAGTGAAATTTCATAGCATGCTTTTAATGTATATATTATGATCCAATATCACACAGATTTTTCAGTCTATCCACCCACCCATCCTTCTATCTATATATACACACAAAAGATATCTGAAATAATTTTCACATGTGAATACTGGGCTAGTAGGAATTTGGGTGATTTGTTGCTTTCTTTATTGTTTCCTATACTGGCTAAGTTTTTAATAATGAATATGTGTTATTTCTATTCATCTTTAAATTGTTCTTAACAGAACAGAGTAAGGACACCTGGGTGTCTCAGTCGGTTAAGCCTCTGCCTTTGGCTCAGGTATGATCACAGGGTCCTGGGATTGAGTCCCGTGCTCAGCAGGGAGTCTGCTTCTCCCTCTGCCTCTGCCCCTCTCCCCTGCTCATGCTCTCTTGCTCTCTCAAATAAATAAATAAAATGTTTAAAAAAAAAAAAGAACAGAGTAAATATGCCAAAATGTTAATATTTACATGTGGGTGGTAGGATGGTATTTTTTTCCCTCTTTCTTTATTCTTTTCAGTACTTTCCAAATTTTCCTGTAATAAACAGCTATTATTTTATAAATAGAAGAAAGTTTAAAATAATGTTAAAATAAGTTAAAAGGATGTGTAGCATTTCTGTAAATGATTGCTAGTTCTTACCTGGGCTTCTTCTGTTGCTCCTGAATGATCTTTCTTCCCGGCCAGATATCATCCATCTGTGACTGATGAAGAAGGGGCTGTCCCAGCATCTCCCTTTTATTCACTTCAAGACAAACAAAAGCGTGGCAGAGTGGTGGTGATGAGGGGGAAAAGGGAAACACATCACACTTGCAGAAGGGATGGCCATATAATCTTTATATTCCCCCACAGAACCCATGAAGTGAGGACACCACCAGTAAGACTATAACAGGATTCCACGTCAGAGGATCTATCACTGAAGTCAAGCACCTCAAAAACAACAACAACAACAAACAAACAACAACAACAAACAACAACAACCACAACAAAACACTTCCAGACAGGGCCAGTACCTGCAGGCTTACGGCGCAGGGACATCCTAATTATCTCACTGCCTGTGTGATAAGCAAAGCGATTCATTTTCTGGTCATAAAACCAGTCTCCAGTTGCCTTCTTCAGCTCTCTGGGAGGGAATAAAAGAAAGTGACAGATGATTTTTTTTTTTTTAAGATTTTATTTATTTATTTGAGAGAGAGAGAATGAGAGAGAAAGCACATGAGAGGGGGGAGGGTTAGAGGGAGAAGCAGGCTCCTCGCTGAGCAGGGAGCCCGATGCGGGACATGATCCAGGGACTCCAGGATCATGACCTGAGCCGAAGGCAGTCGCTCAACCAACTGAGCCACCCAGGCGCCCCAGATGAATTTTTTTTAAAAAAAATGGCTCCTGTCATTCAACTAACAAAGGCCAAGGAGGGAAATTCTTCCTTTTCTCTCTCTCTCCATAGGTGATACTCACATTTCCTTGGTGCACACCTTACACCTCCAGGTACCATTGCTTTCCTGGATGCGGCAGTCCCGACACACCAGGTGATTACAACCCCGACAAGTGTTGGTCTTGGGAGTCAAACGGCCCAGGCTCTCCTGGCACCGGGCACAGGTCCGATCACCATAGTGTTGGCTGCCCCTCTTGGCCCCTTTCCTTTTTATCTCCAGTAGCTCATTCTTCAGTCGCCTGCCAAGACCCCAGAGAGAAGCACAAGCGCATTCACAATCTGCATAGGTTGGATGGAAAGTTGTTGAGGGGTAGAGACAGTAAGACTATTTGGTTCTGTGGAAGCAACAACTTTAGAGCCCAACCTGACCCAGTGAGGAACTGTAAACCTGTACACAAGTTCCTCTGAAAGTCACATGGGAGGTAGAAGGAAAGGTCCAGATAAAATTGATCAAAGGTCTGGGAACCTGTGCTTTTTCTGGAACGCTTACCTGATCCTTTTCTCATCTGCTTTCCGGAGCTCTTCATCTCGTTGTAGAACACTGAGAATCAAATCCCTCTCCACCTCAGACAGAAAAGAGAGATCAAGTATCTCTGACATGATTTATCCTATTTTTTCTTCTACTCTTCTTTCTTCAAAGCAACCAGACCAGGAGAGCCACCAGAGTTGCCTGAAATAAGATAAGAACTATTTTCACACAGATAATTTATTCCAGAGTAGGCCCACCACCCTAGAGCCTCTTAGTAGGGTACTTTCCCCTGAAGCCAGGCTAAAAAAGACAATGTAGAAGTATCTGACTATTTACCATTCTTACTCCCACCTGAATCCTGCCCTGAAAATGAGGAGGCTTTGATTTTTCAAGAAGAAGAACTTATTCATGACTCTGGAAGAGGGTTGAGTCTCTCAGCATAAGCATCTTAGTCTGGAATAAGCACAGAACAGCTAAGTCAAACTCTCCCAACACCAAGTGAATCCTCAATCATCCAATTTTTAATACTTTACATGTTCTCAAGTCCCAAGTCTATTAATCCAAATAATCAGACAGCTGGTCTCTGTAATGGAGGAGAAAACCACATGGGGACTCCTGCCAGTTGAAGCCCATTTCTCCTTTCCTGACCAGCTTCCATGTTCTCAGGACTCAGTTAGCTTTATGCTACACTCCATAACTTCCATCACTTACTCTATCTCCCAGAGTTCTTATTGCTACCACCTACCTGAAGAATATCTTCACCCATTACACACACATTTGTTAAGCACCCACTCTGACAGGCATTGTGCAAAGTGCTAGGGATAGAGAGAGATGAGTAAGACAGGATTCCTGTCCTTAAGTTCACAGACTAGTAGGGGAGACAGATACAAATAAATACAGTACAATGCACAAAGTGCTATCAAAGGGATAATAAATTTAATGCTATGGGAACCTAAAGAAGGAAGTAATTAATTCTATCCTGCATAGAGAAGAGAAAGACCTGTATACATGAAAGGTTTTATAGAAGAGGTGGATTTTTCCTTATAAAACAGTATATTTTTGTTGGTGGGGGGGTGGAAATGGTAGGAAAGATAGGTTTGGGCTAAATTTTATAACTCTCATTCTTTTTTTAAAAAAAAGATTTTATTTTTTTGAGAGAGTGAGAGCACTAGCGGGGGCAGGGGTGAGAGGCAGAGGGAGAGGAAGAAGCAGACTCCCCACCGAGCAGGGAGCCCAATGTGGGGCTCAATCCCAGGATCTTGGGATCCTGACCTGAGCCAAAAGCAGAGGCTTAACCAACTGAGCCACCCAGGTACCCCTATAACTCTCATTTTTAAAAATTAAGAATTTTTGAATTTATTACACAGACAGTAGAAGTCCATCAAACATGTCTGTGGTTGCTTTGTTTTGTTTTGTTTTTTTAAAGATTTTATTTATTCATAAGAGACAGAGAGAGAGAGGCAGAGGGAGAAGCAGGCTCCCCGCTGAGCAGGGAGCCCGATGCGGGACTTGATCCCAGGACCCTGGGATCATGACCTGAGCCGAAGGCAGACGCTTAACCATCTGAGCCACCCAGGCGCCCCAGTTGCTTTGTTTTTGATGTTGGGAAATCACATGATTAAATCCATTTTACAGAGATCACTCTAGCTTTATGTACAAAAGATTGATTCAAAAGATAAATTGAAGTGCAGTTTGAAAATACACAACACATCGGGCGCCTGGGTGGCTCAGTTGGTTAGGCGACTGCCTTCGGCTCAGGTCATGATCCTGGAGTCCCAGGATCGAGCCCCGCATCGGGCTCCCTGCTCAGCAGGGAGTCTGCTTCTCCCTCTGACCCTCCCCCCTTTCATGCTCTCTCTATCTCATTCTCTCTCTCAAATAAATAAAATCTTTAAAAAAAAAAAAGAAGAAAATACACAACACATTGTAAAATGTATACATTCCTTAGCCAAGCAATATCACTTCTAAGAATCTACCTATAGAAATATTCATACAAATAAATGTGCATACAACAGTATATATACAAGAATATTACTGCAACATTATTTGTAAGAGCAAAACAAAAAAAAGTTCTTTAAAGAAGATAATACTTCCATATAATGGCATACTATGCAATCATTAAAAAATGTGGTAGGTCTGTATGAAAATACATCTCGGAGTGGAAAAAAAAAAGTAGTTGCCGGACTATATTGAATGATTTCTTTGGTAAAGTATTTATCTATACATTTGTATATGTAGAGGAAAAGATCTGGAAGAAAAACCATGATCACTGGTTTCTCTTGGGGAATAGAATTGGGAGGGGGCAACTTTCACTTTTTATTGTAAATGGTTATGTTTTTTTTACATAAAAAATCTCTTACTTTTAAATCCTAGAAAAAAAGAAAATTCAAAGGAGACAGAGGGATTATTGTAATAGTCCAGACAAAAGACAATCTAGGTTTACTAAGTGCGCCTCTAACCAACTTGGCAAGTCATTTTATTTCTGTCACCCTCTGGTTTCTCATGTACAAAATGACCTATTTCACAAAGTTATCAAGAAAATGAAATAATGTGTGTTAAAGGGCCAATCACAATGCTTGGGACCCATGTTTGGAATGCACATACTTGCTGAATCTGCTACAGGGCAGGTGGGAACCATGGCAGCAAGACAAAGAACAGAGATTAAAGTTTGAGAAGCAGAACTGACAGAATGGAGTGACTAAGAGGATGAAGAAGGCAAAGTCAAAGATGCCTACCTTGCATGTCTGGGTTTAACAACTGATGGATTAGTGATAATCCTAACAGTGGTAAGAGTTATAAGAGAAGAACCCAGGTTTGGAAGTAAAGCAAGAAGTTTCATTTTAGTCATACTGAGTTTGTGCTACATACAGGATATCCCGGTAATTAGGCCCAGAAAGTAGTTGGAGACACAGGGCTGGTCCTTAGGAAGAGGAACGGTATTTGAAAGGACAGATTCGTAGTCATGGCAGTCAAAGAGCTCAGGGTAGACATAGTGAGAAAGGAAATGAGGATCCTATTTGCCTTCTCTGTGCTCCCTTAAAACTAGACCATAAACCCTTTTTCACTCTTTTTTTTTAACTAATTACCTACAGGACAATAAAGAGTATAAACAATACAGCAGAGTTATAAGGTTCCTGAAACCTCAACAGTTTCTTGACTTGGTTATTTCCTGGTCTTTATTGAACTGTAAGATACTAAGCTTCTGGGGTGCCTGGGTGGCTCAGTCGGTCAAGCATCTGCCTTCGGCTCAGGTCATGATCCCAGGGTCCTGGGATCGAGCCCCACATCTGGCTCCCTGTTCAGTGGGGAGGCTGCTTCTCCCGCTCCCTCTGCTGCTCCCCCTGCTTATGCTCTCTCTCTGTGTCAAATGAATAAATAAAATCTTAAAAAATAAATAAATAAAATAAAATATTGAACAGAGTGATCGAAAGCATTGTGCAAATGGATTCTCCTATTTGTGGTTAGGAGTGAAACACTGGCCAAAATATCAGCCTCTCATGAATAAAACAGGTATCATCAACTGCCTGGCAGCTAAAGACCAAGGATGGCACAGGCACACTGGGAGTAAGAACAAAACCAGATTTGTGGAGTGGCAGCAGAGTTCTGTGATAAGACAGGCACATGGGCACAATAATGAGAAGAAGTAATATCAAGAGCCAGGGAGGTAAGAACATCATTGAGGAAATAAAGACCACATCATAAGAAAATGGAACTGCAAATACTGTATATCTTCCCTTTGTTTTTCACTCATGGACTTGATCCACCAGAACTGCCTCCTTCTAAAATCTTAACCTCAAGAATCCCCATTTTCTGACCATAGCTCACTCCCACTAAACCTGTTCTTCAACCTCATCAAGACCACAGTCTCTTGAGGCCACCTTTCATTTTTTCTTGGTCTGCTTGCCTCCCGCTGATCTGTTTTCCTTTCCAACCCATCCTGGACTCCAAATGACTCAACATTTGAACCACTCTCACAAGTCTCTCCCATATCCATGTGTCTTCATCCCTCTGCTACAACTGCCCATCAAAATCCCAAACCTATACCAATGTTAGAGTCTTGCCTTGTATGCTCCTACACCCAAGTCCTACACAATGCGTGGTCTCCAACCTCAGGTGGACCCTCACTGTCACCCGTAAGTCTTTTTACCTGCCCTGAGTTCAGTTCCTTTACCTAGTCTATTCAGGTTCTATTTTTAAGCCTTCATTCATCTCATCTCACACTCCCACTTCCCTTTCCTCCAGGTCCTATCGGACATCCTTGTTCCACACTTGTAAAGAAAAGGGTTTTAGAATCCATCACCCATGACTTCCTCAGCTCCCTGCCTCCTTTCTCCTATAACTTGTCAATCTGACTCCTTTCAGAAAAGCCATATCCCACCTCAACCCCTCCTTTGACCATGGGTTGCTATTTCAAACATTAACCCTGTTACCAGCCAGTTCGCTTGAGATGCCATCTTGCATAATCAGTAGTCAGGAGAAGAAAATAGGCGAAGAAAAAAATTTCTGAGGCAAGGAGAGAAAGGAAAGCATAGAAAAAAAAATGAGACAAACAGCAAGAAGAAGATGGTAAAAACTAATTCCAATATATCAATAAACATATGAGTAGAACTCACCCATTAAAATGCAGAGGTTAACAGCTGGATAAAATTTTTAAAAATCCAGCTATGTGCCATTTTACAAGGGACACATCTAAAACATAAAGATGAGGAAAGATTGAAAATAAAAAAGATGGGAAAAGATATACCAGGTAAATGCCAACCCAAAGAAAGTTGATGTAGTTATATTAACATCTAAAAAATAAAACTTAGGGACAATAAAAGCATTGTAACACTTAAAGAAAATCAGTACATAGAGTAAATAAACCTGTATGCACTAATTAAACACTTCCAAATATATAAAGATTAAATATACTAGAAAGAAATTGAAAAATCAACCATCAAAATGGGAGATAAATATACCTCTCTCAGTTATTGACAGTACAAGCTGATAAAAAATTAATAAATATATAGACAAGTTGAACAACAAAATAAGCTTGATTTAGTGGACATATGTAGAAATCTATATCCAATTGCAAAATCACATTCTTTTCAAGCACATATGGAACATCTACCCCCCAAATTATCATGTACTAGGTTGTAATACAAGTCTCAGTAAATTTCAGAGAAATCATTCTCATACAGATCATGGTCTCTGACCTCAGTGAAATTAAATATGAGGTCAATAACGAGATCATTTTTAATCCCAAAACATTTTGGAAATTTAAAGACACTTCTGAATAACTCAAAGGGTCAAACAAAATTATAACTGTACTAAATCTATCATTAATACCTTAAAAAGAAACCTACTGTCTGTTTTACCACCACTATCACTCCCATAACCATAGAATGTATTCTAGAAATTCAGAAAGGAAAATATGGAATAAAAATAATGCTTTTGTATGCAAAGAGTTTTATGGTAAATGATGTAACATGTTTTGAAAAACCTAACTCAGAAAAATAATGGAGACACAAATAAAACCAGACAGATCTGAAGTTAGGAAACCTGTGACCTTTCATATTCTCCCAACTGATGAATCCTAGGGTTTAGTGGGGAAACCAAAGCCCAAAAATACTTGTTAAGGCTCTTCGCTGAAATTCAGTCACAGATGTGTTGTCAAAAGAGCAAGGATTATCTACTGAGAAAACCACAGCTCAGATAACATGAGTGTCCAAACTGAAGCTCTGATGGACAATTTGTTCCATGTTAATCGTGGGGTGTCAAGACTCAGATTAAATATCTTTTTTTTTAAAGATTTTATTTATTTATTTGACAGAGAGAGAGCAAGCGTGTGCATGCATGAGCACACAAGCAGGGGGAAGGGCAGAGGGAGAGGGAGAAGCAGATTCCCCGCTGAGCAGGGAGCCTGATGCGGGCCCGATCCCAGGACCCCAGAATCATGACCTGAGCTGAAGGCAGATGCTTAACTGACTGACAACCCAGGTGCCCCTCAGATTAATATCTTAATATAGCATCCTTGTGGGACCTCATACCCACAGGAAGTTATTTTAGAAAAGATGGCTTGTTTATTTAGAAAATTATATACATTTACTGCTCAAAATTCAGGATATTTTAATGAATATTAAAGAAGCCAGAAGGAGCTGAAAAATCTATCAAAATGGAAGGTTAACATACCTCTCTCAATTATATATCCAAGTGGATATATCTAATTTATACCCTAAACCTATAGATTAGGAGATAATAATGATTAATAAGTGAACATTAACACTAACAGCTAGTTTTCAAGAAGGGGTGGGGAGAGCTTTCTCAAGTTATTTTAAATTCTGAAGACCAATTATAAAAACAAAAAACTGGGCCAAATTGATAGGAAGCATGAAATAATGAATATAGTGGTGTAAGACAGACTTGGGTTCAAATCTTAGGTTTACTATTTATTAGTTATATGTCCTTGGACAAGGGCCCAAAATATATATATAAAAAAAAAGATTATCAAAAATGTAGAAATCCTTAGAAGAATAGTATTTACATTAAAAGTCATTGTTGGTGTTCCCAAAATGGAAATTGATGCGAATCAGAAAAACACCAAATAATGTCCCTGCACCAGGCAGCAAATAAACAAGTTTCACTGTGTTTAATTTGTTGGGCACCTTGGTCCCTCTCCCTCTCCCCAACATATAGTGCATGTTCAAACTAGAAACTTCTACCATACGTAACCTCCTTGGGGGCAGACACTGTATCTGGACTTCCATGGCCCCAGAAACTTTTTTAGCACAGTGTCTGATACACAGTATGAATTCAATAAATGTTTACTGAATGTATTCACCCAGAAATCTATTTATATTTATATGTTTAAACTTAACTCATGGGAATTGAAGAGCAGTAATAGAGCTGAGAGAACAGTGGTTTTGTTTTCCTGAAGCACTATGGTGTCGTGATTAAGAGCATAGACTCTGGAGCCAGACTGCCTGCATTTGAATCCCAACCTCACTATTCACTAGTTGTGTGACCCTGGGCAAGTTCCTATACCTCTCAGCACCTCCATTTCCTCATTTGTAAAATGAAGATAATTACCTACCCTTTTGGGCTTATTATAAAGATTAAATGAGTTTTTACAATATATAAAGTGCATGAAGTAATAACACAGAGAATGCTCTTTGTTAGCTATTTTTATTTTGTAAGGTTTCATATGTATACTCATGCTTTAAGACTTAACTGGGTCTTGAAAAATGACATTTACTTTCTTTTAAAGAATACAGATGAATTGTGAGTTAAAGTGCATCTAGACACCATTTAAAGTTTCAAGCATTGTTTTTCAAAGTGAGAAATTATGCTGACAATATTCAAGATGAGAGAAGAATCTCAGAAAAACTGACCCACGCTCAAGGACAAAAAGACTGAACTGGTATTAAAGTGTTCCTCTAAACCTACTAGTAGTAATTATGTGATGGTTTTGCATATAAATTCTATTGGATTATCAGTTAAGTCCCACCAAAGTGATATGGTAAGAGCATTTTGCTGTTTGGACCAAGGAAAATGGACAATTTGGGTAAAATTTATACTTCACTGAACATGAAAAAGTGAATCAGAGTCTTTCAAAGGATATCAGTTTAAACCAAGAAGTTCTGAATTAAACTGCTGTTGTCAAGCAAATGATGCTATGTTTTACACAGAAACTGATTAGTGATGTGAGAAGATTTACACTGCTACGTGTCAGATTCTGTATACTCTTGAACATAGATAATCAGAACTGATATGGCTATGACAAGAAATATGATGGTGTCTACATTTTTGAAAGGTTAGGATTGAAACTGGGCTACAAATTATAATTGGTAATGAAAATTTGGGATTTTAGAATGTCAGTGGACTTCTAATTCTAGCTAAGACAGAGTAACAAAAAATGGATTTCCACCTTGCCTGAAAGAAGCCACTGCCCCAAATGGATAAAATACATGAAACAATGGTGTTTTCAAGACAATGAACATCAGGCAATGAAGAACTGTGATCCCTGAGAGATAATAAACAAACAGGGTGAGACCTCGGACTTCCCAGGCTCACTGTCTTGAGACACTTTCCAGACCATGGTGCAGGGAACAGGAATGTAGGCAGAACCTGGTGAACTCCTTGAGCTGAGGTCACAGAGCTGAGAGTCTGGGAAAATGCAGGTAGCTAAAGTTCATAGGACGGAATACCTGAGACAGCTGCACATAGATCTTTGAAGAGCTGCTGAGGGTCTCCCTTGAGTATTCAGCACAGCACTGATCAGTGCATGGCATGCCTGTGATGAAATCACCCTAGGCCAAGAACAGAACCAACTGAAAGGATTCAAACGAACAGTGTCTGTCACTCACACAGGGCCAGGAGTAATGCCTGTTCCACCAGCCAAATTGATTCACAGGGCATGGGGCAAGGTACACAGAAGGGTCTTGGCTTCCATAATGGGAACTAATTAGTCCTAGACTGTGTACTGCTCTGGTCCTGCCTAACAAATCTAAACAAAACAGTCTGAAAGGATCAGTTTCCAAGTAACTCAAGTGCATCCCAGAACAGAGCTCAAGCATATTTGTAGTAATATAAAAATATGCAGCATCCAGCAAAGTAAAAATCAGAATATCTGGTACCCAACAAAAAAATTAACAGGCATGATTTGCAAAGACACAGATGAACCTAGAGGGTATTACGCTAAGTGAAATAAGTCAGACAGGGAAGGGCAAATACCATATGATTTCATTTATATGTGGAATCTAAAAAAATGAAACAAATGAACAAACAAATAACAGAAACAGAATCATAAATACTGAGAACAAACTGGTGGTTGGCAGAAGGGAGGAGGGTGGGAGAATGGGTAAATGGGTGAAGGGAAGTGGGAGGTACAGGCTTCCAGTTATGGAATGAATAAGTCACAAGGATGAAAGGTACAGCATAGGGAATACAGTCAATGGCAATTTAATAGTATCGTATGGTGACAGATGGTACCTACATTTGAGGTGAGCTCAACATAGCATAACATACAGAGTTATCAAATCATTACAGTGTAAACCTGAAATTAATATAGCATTATGTGTCAACTATACTTCAATAAAAAAAATTAACAGGCATGCAAAAAAGCAGAAAAATACAGTCCATGATGAGGAGATAAATCAAAAACTAAGAACTGACAGAAAGGTTAGAATTAGCCAAAAAAAAAAAAAAAAGATCATTAAAACAGTCATTTTAACTGTATTCCAATTTTTAAAAGTTAAATAAAGACATGGAAGATATTTTTAAAAAATACCCAAATCACACCTAGAGGTAAAAATGGCAATGTCTGAGATGAAAAGTACACAGGATGGGATTAACAGCAAATTATACATTGTAGTAGAAAAGATTACTGAATTTGAAGACATTGCAATAGAAACTATCCAAATGAAACAGCAAGAAAAAAGACAAAAAAACAGAGCATTAATGAACTATAGAACAACTTTAAGCTGGTCAATGTACATGTAATTGGAGTCACCAAAGGATATGAGGACACTGAAAAATTTTTTGAGGAAACAGTGGCCAAAAGTTTTCTAAATTTGATGAATACTAGAAAGTCAGATTGAAGAAACTCAATAAACTTCATGCAAAAGGAATATAAAGAAAACTACACCATATGGCACACCAAAGTCAAATTTTTTAAAACCAGAGATAATGAGAATATTCTTCAAAGCTGGAGGCAGGGGGTACATGTTACACACAGAGAAACAAAGATAATGATGAAAGGAAATTTATCATTGGAAACCATGAAACGAGAAGACAGTGGAACATCTCTAAAATACTGAAAGGAAAAAAAAACCTGTCAATCTAGAATTCCAAACCCAGTGAAATAGCATCCAAAAACAGAGGTGAAATAAAGCCTTTTTTAAACATGCAAGAGTTGAAAGAATTAATTTCCAGTAGACCTGTGTTATAAAAATTGTTAAAGTCTTTTGGGCAGAAGAAAAATAATCTAGATAGAAATATGGGTCTAGGGGCACCTGGGTGGCTCAGTCGGTTAAGCATCTGACTCTTGATTTTGGCTCAGGTTGTGATCTCGGGGTTGTGAGATCAAGTTCAGTGTCAGGCTCATGCACTGGGTGTGCAGCCTGCTTGAGATTCTTGATCTCCCTCGTCCTCTGCCCCTACCCCCCTCTAAAAAAAAAGAAATATAGGTCTACAAAAGGGAATGAAGGGCACATGCAATGGCAAACTATGTGGGTAAAAAATTTTTTTCTTATAGAATGAACAGGCAAAGAAGATATGGTGTGTGTGCATACACACACACACACACACACAATGCAGTGGACTATTACTCAGCCATAAAAAATGAGATCTTGCCATTTTCAATAACATGGATGGATGTAGAAGATATTATGCTAGGTGAAATAAGTTAGAGAAAGACACACACCATATGATTTCATTTACATGTGGAATCTATAAACAAAACAAATGAGCAAACAAACAAAAAGCAGAAACAGACCCATCAATGCATAGAATAAACTGATGGTTTCTAGAGGGGAGAGATGTGGGGGTATGGGCAAAATAGGTGAAGAGCAATGGGAGATACAGACTTCCAATTATGGAATGAGTAAGTCACAGGAATAAAAGGTACAGTATAGGGAATACAGATGATGGTATTGTAATAGTATTATATTGTGACAGGTGGTAGCTATGATTATGAGCATAGCATAACATATAAACTTGTCAAATCACTATGTTGTACACCTGAAACTAATGTAACAGTGTGTGTCAACTATACTTCAATAAAAAAATAATTGAATGTTAAAAGTAAACAATATATATATATAACAATATACATATACACAATATACACTATATATATACACAATATACACACTATATATGTATATATACAATATACACAATATATACACAATATATATAACAATATATTGTGAGGTGCAAAACATATGTAGAACAAAGTTAGAAGACTTACACAACCTGATTTTGAGACTTACTATAAATCTACAATAATTGAGTGGTATTGGCATACAGATAGACAAACAGAGCAATAGAACAGAAGACTCCAGAAATAAACCTTATGTTTATAGTCACTTGATTTTTGATAAAGGTACAAGAGAGTTCAGTGGAGAAATGATAGTCATTTCAACAAATGATGCTGGAAAAACAGGATATCCGTAAGCAAATTTTTTTTTAAATGTGAAGATTTCTTAGATAAGACACTTAAAAACATGATCCAGAACTTGATAACTTAGACTTCATTAAAATTAAAAATGTCTGCTCTTTGAAAGATGCTGATAAAAAAATAAAAAGACAAGCCATTTACTGGAAGAAAATATTTGCAAATAGTATATCTGATAAGGACTTGTATCCAGAATATGTAAAGAACTCTCAAAACTAGAATTTAAAAAAACCACACAACCCAAATTTTTTAAGTGGACAAAATTTGAACAAATCCATCACCAAATAAAATATATGAATAGCAAATACACTCATGAAAGTATGCTCAACATCATTAATCATTAAGGAAAATGCAAACTAAAATTACAATGAGATACCACCACACAGTTATTAGAATGGCTAAAATAAAAAATGTACTGAATGTTGACCAGAATCTGAAACAACTAGAGCTCTCATACATTGTAGTGGGAATATAAAATGGTACAGCCACATTGGAAAAGATTTTAGTAATTTCTCAGAAAGTTAAACATATATCTCCCATATGACCCAGCCTTTCTACTTTTAGGTATTTACCCCAGAAAAGCAAACACATATGTCCATGCAAAGACTTGCATGTGAATGCAAATAACAGCATTATTCATAATAGCCAAAAGCTAGAAACAACACAAATGTCCATGAAGAGGTGAATGCATTTTTTTTAAGTTGTATATCCACACAATGGAATACTACTCAACAATAGAAAGGAATGAGTTACTGCAATATGCAATTTGGATCAATCTCAAAATAATTATGCTGACTGAAAAAAAATCAGACCAAAAAAAGAACACATAATACATGATTTCATGTATATAAAACTCTAGAAAGTAAAAATTAATTTATAGTGGCAGAAAACAGATCAGTAGTTGCTGGAGAAGGGTGTTATAGTACAGAGAAGAACAGGAAGGAAAGATTACAAAATGGCACAAGGAAATTTGAAGGTAATGAATGTTTACTATCTCAATTTTGGTGATGGTTTAATGGGTATATCAGATGTCAAAATTTATCAAATTCAATACTTTTTAAAATGTAGTTTATCATATGTAAATTATATGTCAATAAAGCTTGTTATTTAAAGTTTTAAAATTAAATATAACCACATCTTTTTTTTTTTTAAGATTTTTTTTTTTTTTTGAGAGAGAGAGAGAGAATGAGAGAGAACACATGAGAGGGGATAGGGTCAGAGGGCAAAGCAGACTCCCTGCCGAGCAGGGAGCCCAATGCGGGACTCAATCCAGGGACTCCAGGATCATGACCTGAGCCGAAGGCAGTTGCTTAACCAACTGAGCCACCCAGGCGCCCTAAATATAACCACATCTTGTAATCAGAAGTTTTACCACCCCAGAATATCTATAAAATAGTAGGAGACTCTAAATGTATTCAAACAGTAAAATGTTGTTTTATGTCAGAGGGTTTTTTTCTTCTAAGAGGTGTTTTATTATTTTTATTTATGTGTATCTTTTTTTTATTGAAGTATAATTAACATACAGTGGTATATTAGCTTCACGTGTACAATATGATTCAACAATTCTATACATTACTCAGTGCTCATCAAGATAAGTCTACTCTTAATCCCCTTTGTCTATTTCACTCTCCCCCCACCCACTTCCTCTCTGGGAACCACAGGTTTGTTCTTCATATTTAAGAGCCTGTTTTTTTTGTCTTTTTTCTTTATTCATTATTCCACATGAGTGAACTTGTATGACATTTGTCTTTTTCTGACTTATTGCCTTTAGCATTATACCCTCTAGGTCCATCCATATCATTGCAAATGGCAACATCTCATTCTTTTTTATGGCTGAGTAATATTCCATTATCTATCTATCTATACACACACACACACACACACACACATCTCCATTTATCTATCAATGGACACTTGAGTTGCTTCCATATCTTGGCTATTGTACATAATGCTGCAATAAACATAGGGGTGCATGTATCTTTTTCACAATTAGTATTTTCATCTTCTTTGGGTAAATAACCAGTAGTAGAATTACTGGATGATACAGTAATTTTATTTTTAACTTCCTGAGGAACCTCCATACTGTTTTCCACAGAGGCTGCACCAATTTGCATTCCCACCAACCGCGCA